ACCCGAACACAAATGTACTAGATACGGGGCGTATAACCAAGCTTTCAGCTTAGCTAAGCTCCAAACATAACTAAACTCCTGCAGTAATTCCGCCCCAGGTTCTGACCGAGTGGTGTATGAAATGTTAAAAAATCTACCAATTGCAACACAAAAAACCTTACTTTGCTTGTACAATGCTATCTAGTTCTCTGGCGCTATCCCTACTTCCTGGAAAGAGGCTATTTTTATTCCCATTTTGAAACAGGGTAAGGACCCTTCTTCAGTTCCGAGTTATAGGCCTATTGCACTTACAAGCTGCTTGTGAAAACTTTTCAAAAAAATGGTAAACTGCCGACTTGTACATTTCCTTCAAACAAAGAATTTGCTCGACCCATTTCAGTGCGGGTTTCGAAAGGCTAGATCCACCACCGACCACCTTTTTCGTGTCGAGGCACAGATCAATGACGCTTTCGTCCACGAACAATATTCTCTCTCTGTGTTCCTCGATATCGAAAAGGCTTACGATACAACATGGCGCTTTGGAATATTGAGAGACCTGTCCCATCTTGGCGTGCATGGCAAAATGTTTACCAGAATATAAGGTTACTTGTCAAATCGGATATTTCGCGTTCAAGTGGGCAGCGTTCTTTCTCAAACATTTGTCCAAGAAAGAGACATGCCGCAAAGTGGTGTACTTAATTGCACATTTTTTATTATCAAAATGAATTCTTAGTGCTTGTCTATTTTTCGCAATATCTTTTATTGTACCTATGTCGACGACGTTCAGCTTGGTTTTAGGTCTTGTAATCTGGCCATGTGTGAGCGGCAGGTTCAGCTTGGTTTGAACAAAGTCTCCAATTGGGCAGAAGAAAATGGGTTCCGACTGAATGCACAGAAAAGCACGTGTGTCTGGTTCTCCAGGAAGAGAGGCATTCATTCCGAACCCAATATTCAACTCCATGGGCAACGTCTTTCCATTAATACCGAACACAAATTCTTCGGCCTATTCTTGGACACCAAGCTAACCTTCATACCACACATCAAATATTTAAAAAACAAGTGCATAAAAGCAATGAACGTTCTAAGAGTGTTGTCACGCACTACGTGGGGAAGTGACAAGATGTGTTTAATGAATTTGTTTAAAAGCCTTATACGTACCCGCCTAGACTATATGGCAATAGCATATCAGTCTGCGACACTTACTGCCCTTAAAATGCTTGACCCTGTTCATCATCTAGGCATCCGTCTCTCTATAGGTGCTTTTCGCACTAGCCCCCTTGGAAAGCCCGTACATGGAATCGAATGAATGGTTGCTCCACCGCATCTCACTCTCTACAAGTGCTTTTCGCACTAGCCCCGTGCAAAGCCTGTACGTGGAATCGAATGAATGGTCACTCCGCCTACAGAGATATTTCATGTCTTTTAAATATTATCTTAATGTAAATGCAGACAAGGGTCACCCATTACATTCCACAATTAATGACATGTCAAGCCTTGCTGTGTTGAGAAACGGCCTTCTATGAGACAGCCCTACTCACTCTGTGTGAGGGGCCTAGTGAAGGAAACCGGTGTGCCTCTTGAACACCGTTTGATGGCTCTCGCAGTATGCCTACCACCGTGGCAATGGCAGGCGATAGATTACGACGTGTCTTTCTTGGAGGTTTCGAAGCATGCACCAATTGACATATCCAGACATACTTCCTAGAACTACAACAGAAATACACATCTCCTGAGTCATTTACAAATGCTTCAAAGTCCGACACTTGTGTTTCGAATGCAGCCGTCGACCCATCCTTTTCGGAACCCCGCATTCTGCACTCTGATTCAAGCATTTCCACCAGCAAAGCTTATGCGATACTTGCGGCCGTTAAACACATTGAACAAATAAAACCACAGAAGGTTAATATATACAGATTCCCTAAGCATAGTAAAAGCTCTGAAAACTCTTAAAAAGCACAAAAACCCTGTCCTTGTCTCGCTTTATTTGCTCTTATGCACAGTCTACTCATCTAAGCAGCATGTTGTAGTCTTCTGGGTGCCAGGACACCGCGAAATTCAAGGCAATGTTGTGGTGGACCAGCTAGCTGGATCCGCCAACAAAACTGCTTCCATTACATCGATACCAGTTCCTGCGCTCGACTTGAAACCCTTTCTAAAATGAAAGCTCGGGGGTTATTGGCAGAGCACATGGGACACACACACAGGTAATAAATTGCTTGTCATCGAGCCGGAACTTGGTCATTGGCCACCAGTATCGAAATCACGCGACACAGAAGTAATCCTTATAAGGTTAAGAACAGGACATACACACATAACACATTCATTTCTTTTTTGTCGGGGGGTGATGCATCTTTGTGTGATAGATGTGGAGAAGCACTCATCATACGTCACATTCTAATCCAGTGTAAGTAATTAGATACGCTGAGAAGACAACACTTTCCGTTACCCTACCGACAACAGATACCACTTCATCCTGCTATGTTCGTCGGTAGGGAAGCACTTTTTACACATAAATCGTTGTTAGCTTTTTTCAGAGAAGTTTGTACCTTTCATGTGATATACCCGGGCATTCTGTACCACGACCTCTCCAGAGAGGTTTCGGCTGGCTTTGGTGGCTACACTGAACAAAGCACTTGCCTCACGCCCTTGGACGCAAGGGTGTGAACGATCGAGGCACTTTTGCTTATGCCAAACATGTCCACCATGGTTTTTATTATCACAAACTTTTGTGATCCTTTAACACCACACACTTTTCACGGCATGGTCATGATTATATTAGTTCTATGTTTTTACCCGCCTTAGCGCGAGGATTTTTAAGGCATTTATACAGCCGCTTATCACAATCATTGTCCATATCTCTAGTAAGATGAACTGGCACTCTTTGGCCATAAAATGGCCCTTGCACCACAAAACATCAAACAATATCATCAGCCTTCACAGTCAAATCCTTTGCATCGTACTTCTTCTCTGCAGGTGTTGGGGCTGCTGGAGCGCAGCAACGCTTGCATGGTGCTGGAGCGTCATGTAGTAGACAGGGAACAAAATAAAAAGCACAATGATAAAAATGACCTAAAAAAACTGCAATCTTTTCAAAACAAATAAACAATAAGGCTGCAGATAGCACTGACCATGCACAAAAATAAATAATTTAAAAGCAACAGCGCAGTGAACAATTGGGCTCAAGTGTTACGCGAACGTGTTGGACGCACAAAAAAAAAAATGAAACGCAAATTTATCGGTTGCCTGTTTCTGATGACGGTAACAATGTGCTGCATTTCATTTTGGTTGTAAACCAATGCCATTCTCTTTCTTTTTTTGTTTTTTGCCTCTGAGGTGCAAAGCTCATTCCTACCTTGTTTTAAATCTAGGAGTGCACAATCTAATGACAAAGTTGTTTACATGTGCCATCTATTTGGTTGATAAAATCCGCTGCTGCTTCCCCTTCGTGACCCAACCTCAGTCGGGAGTTTGAAATAATCATAGCGTGGTTCAATCTGCCCGAACTGATTAGAGTTCTCAGTCGTAGAACAGAGCACATTATGGACGAAACCAGATGCTGTGGCTAAATTAACAGGGCAGGATATAATGAGATTTTACTGTATGTGATGAAACGTCAGCTCCTCTTTTGTTATTGCTACGCCGTTACACCGGCTCCTCCTCTGACATCCCGCGAGATGGCGCGGTGCTGCCAGCTGCGTGCAGCAGTTGCTAGATAGCAGCTCAGCTTGCGGTTTCACCGGCTCCTTCTCTGACGTCATGCCAGATCGCACTGCCAGCTGCAGTTGTAGCTAGGCAACAGCTCAGCTCATGGTGTGACCATTGGCCATAGCAAAACGGCAAGAATACGGTCAGTCTAGCTCCGGCTACAAAATAATGACATTTGCTTATGTCTTGTTTCAGTTTTTTTAAAGTATTGTGCAGGTTAGTTGGGTCATGACAAATCTGCTCATTTTCTTTTATAATACATGATATATACTAGTAATAAAACTTGATTCAGCAATATTTGACCGAGTCACTGTTTGCTGCAAACCTAAAGTATACTATTTGTGCAAGTCTAGCTTTTCTTTTACCTTTCATTTTTTGTAGCATTTTTTTTAAGCCTCCAGGATTGAATCTGGCCCTTTATAGTAAACAATGTAAGTGTAAGCAGTACTGAATGAAATCAGGATTTTGGGCAGAAGTTATAACAAAATGGCTCATGAAATGAATGAGGCCTTTCAGAATGCAAAGTGTGTAGCCGGGGTAGCCCTATGGCTTTGTGCAGAATGGGACAAGATTTCCTATAATTTTTTCATAATCTCGAGAAGCAAGTACGAATGTTAAGATGACAAGGAGTGTTTGCACGTCGGTTTTATATTGTGCCTTTTTGGGTTAGCTCAACTGATGTGGAGGTGATTGTGATAAAGACCGTGTGAATGCAGGAGTGTATATGTCCGAGCCTCACTTAGGCGATTAAAGAGCAAGTCGTCTAGCTTCTTTCCTGTCTCCTTAACTATATCTGGTGTTCGTCCATTTTTGGTTGTATATAGTACTTCCTTGATGCAAGGCACCAGCTAGCCCAACAAAGAATTATACTTAAAATAATGCTGACCAGAACTGGAAAATTTGTTGACTGTTGGTTTAGAACAGAGGGGTTCAAAGTTTTTGCCACTCCAGAATCTGCTGCTTGTGCTGGCAGGACTGTTCAGATGAACAAAGATGTCTACGATGTCCAGGAGCATGCCAGCACTTTCACTTAGCCTTATTCTGAATATTCGTGATTGAGGGGTGGAGTCATCGGGTTTCACTGAAGGCGAAAGAGTGCATGATGCCGATAACCTTATATTAATAGAGTGTAAGGTACTATATTGAAAAAAAAAAAAAAAAGAGCAGATATCATTACATTGTACGTTGCTCATGCAGAAAGAGGGAGAAATAAATTTGATTTGCGACCAGGCGCGCGCTCTCTTTGCCCAGATTTGGTAAGAAAATTTCAGTTGAAGCTATTCTGGATGCATACTGCTATACTTCATGTTGTGCAGGATGACATTGGAGAGTATGTCGAAGTGGATGAGCGTGAGCAGGTACCACAAGCAGAGCAATGCAAATGGGAGGAGGAGCGAATGGGTATTGCCCGAATGCACTTTGGTGCAAAGGATGCCAAGGATAAGGGCAAGGTGAGTGTTGTCAGAAGTCTGTGTTCTTTCGTGTGCTCGGCTTTCGATGTGACAGGTGCCTTATGTTCACTATGACCGATGCGAGACTTGACCTCCATCGTTCCCGGCTCATCATCACAAGCTTATACTAACACGACGCACTTAAAGAGGTACGGACTAGAAGAAGTGCTGACACCCAGAGCATCAGCCCGAGCGCCTAACACATTGACAGCCGTGGACATGTACACCATAATCAAGCTTACTTCTAGTAGTCGTCGGTAGGCCTAACTTCGCTTATGGTGCTGTGATATACGAGACGCATCTTAGCTTTGCAGGGAAAAACATCGCGCTAGTGGACATGAGAAAGTGAACAAGGCGTAATGTACTTTGTTGCACGCAATAAAATGGCATTGCCGTCTGGCATTTCGGAACCATGAATGGACATTTTACGCATCAGCAGCAGACCTCCAAGCCAAGCTCGTTGCGAAGCGACCACTCAGAGCATCGATGAAAGCAGCTAGCAGTTTCCACACTTTCACTCACCAAAAATCAAAGCTAAGCACACTGCACGCTGGTTTGTCGTTGTTATATTTTTTTTTCGTTATTAACTGTTATATCTATTTTCTGGAACTTGAATACTTCAAATAGTAAAATTTCAGTGTGAATCTAATCGAATAGCAAACACTATCTGAAAAATATTCAAAAGTTTGAATATTCACACACCCCTAGTCTTGAGTATTCACACTTTATTGTTTGCTAACTGAGCTTGTGTGTGTTTCTTCCCTATAGGAAGAGACGTACGACCTGATCTTGGATGATGCCATTGAGTTCGTCCAAGCGCTCCGTGTGCCAGGTACAAAGCATAAAGTGAGCGAAAGACTTCTTGGAAAACATATATAGTCTTTTGATTTTCTTTATTGCAGTTTTTTGTCCAGTGTTTGGAGCAGCAACAGTAACTTGATTCAGCATAGTGTCCTACGAGACATTGATACTAGCAATTCCAACTCTGTACTAGTCTTCATTTTGATTCATTTTTGTCCTTAATTTTAGTGGCACGTTAGTTGCCATATAGGTGTTCAGCTAGGGGCAGATGCTTGGATGTTAATCAATTTTCATGCCTAAGGGTCAGTAGCCATATGAAAAAATCGAGCAACTACAAAATAGTGATTGCAGGAAATTCCGCGCATCAGCGGCATATGCACAAGATGACATAATGTATCAAAGTCTGCTCATTGCCGTGCTTTTAGCGATAAATTGTGTGCCATATTTTTGTCAGCTGTACAATTGCAAGGTCCTCCATCGAGTTCCCTCAAAATGGGTTTAACAAAGAGCTTTTCACAAGACCATGACACCCAATTCTCGCTCATAATCTGTGTTATGTGGGTTCATCCTTGGGTGTTCACAAACTAACAATCAGGTGGAAAGCAGTAGCCATCTGACAATGACAATAACTCTGTTTATTTTCTATTTCAATTTAAAACAAAAAGAAATTCGAGCACGTTTTATCAAGCTTATAATGAATACTTGTAACTTATAATGAACTTATAATGAATATTTTTATAAACGCGCGAGCGACCCGAGAGTCTGACAACACTGGTGCACTTGTGAGCCGTGACGTAACAATCCTTTGCTTTGTGAGCGTCTGTATTCTGGCCAGCGACATTTTTTCCACGCGTACAATGAAGGCGTTTCAGCTTTCTTCAGCTTCACATTGAAAATTGCATGATTTTCAGCAGTTGAAACTTAGGCAGAAGACAATGGCTGGACGTGAAGCACATGATGTCACACACGCTATGGCCAATTGGTGATCACTGGCAGTGGGTGTGCTTTATCATAGAGTTTCCTAAATATGCATTAGAGGGAACTCTGGCGCTAGTGTCTATGGGAGCTGCAACGCAGGGCGCTTCATCAAGCATGCGAATGATGGGTAGTACACGGATTTGTCAAATCTTCGTGCTTCTGGCTCCATGCTTGTTCTTGTGGCTTGGAGCTGTTTTGTTTTTTTAACTAAAATCAGCAAATGTTCAGTGGTTGCGCTTCACCACATTAATCCTTTACGCTTACCATATCAAATCGGGTCACGAAGTTTAAAAGCGCTCGTTCTTTCCTTCAAAACACAGCAATAAACGAAGCTACCAGTGCGTAACTTTGAAGTGTGGCAGCTTGGGCTAGTTGGTATGGCATGACGATAGTTATAGCGCGAGAACAAAACGACGACACAAAGATACGTGTCCTCCGTGTCCTTCTTGTCTCTGTGTCATCGTTTTGTTCTCGTGCTATAACTATCGTCCTACCAGTGCGATTTGTCGCCCACAAGTATGAAGCCCAAGGAAATGCATGTACTATCCATCATTCCCATGTTCGCTGAACGATCGCAGTCCCCTCTAGTTAATTTTAGGAAACTCTATGGGGTTTATAACCGTTGACTTCTAGGGCTCATTATGCCATGGTATATTTTTTTAGTCCTTTTCTCAGACAGTTAAACCCCTTTAATAGAAGCATGCTCAAGGCTGCAGTTCTTGTCTCTTATATGAAATATCTCTTATAAGCAGGGTGCCTCATATGCATTTCCTTATCAATCTGTGTTTTACTGTATGCACAATGGTGTCTCTTATACCCATTTATCCCTTATAACAGTGTCTCTTATAAACGGGTTCAACTGTATATGTACTGGCACAACGGACTCTCTACATCAATTTTTTGCTGAACAGCTACAATACGGTGGATGACCTTGTCATGGCTTCTATAACGCAGGCCACATCTGGAAAGTGAAGGTCACTTGTGCTCAATAAGATAAAGATAAAGCCTAAATACAGAGAATCTTGGTGAAATGGACCTTGCTGATGCCAATTTCAGGCTGATGCAAATTTGTGAAATTTCCCAGCTGAATTTCATTGTGTCCAGTGGGCCAAAATTTGGGTGTTCCAAACACTTTTCAGTACAGTGACAGGTGACATGAACTTGGGCACTGAAGTCATCGGATGATGGCCAACAGAAGCACGCTCCGAAGGCTCTAGAAGTATGCACACAACCACACACATGTTCAGAACTGTGGTTATCATTTACCACAACCGCTGTTGTGATCGATGCGATCGTGGTGGCAACCAAGTACAGTTGACTCATTAATTCAAACTCGAAGGGACCTCTGAATTTAGTTTGAATTATCAAAACTTCTCAGATAGATGACCCTGAGTGAGGTGGCACCACACATTATGATTAGGCATTGATTTTATCACATTTAAAAATTTTTTGAGTGTTTTTGATTCCTAACCGCACGAAGTAAACAGAAAGCATAGGTGTAAAATCCACAATTCATTGGTCATTTACTGCTGATCAGACCTTTTAAAGAAATCGTGAATTGCCAACTGCTTCATTGCAATAGGTATGTGCTTTCAGCACAAAGCTTTCTATACCAGTTGAGAAGCATCGCGGTTTACTATGTGTGTGCTTCATTTCAAACATTCGTTTACTTGGAAAGCCTTTTTCCTTGAAGGCCTCAGGTGCTTATTTTTCATTTTTACTGTTAGGATTATTAAAGCATACAAATATTTAAGTAGCAGGGGGAAAGCAGCAGATTTTTTCTGTTATGGAACCATAAAATGTATGAATTAAATACATTGAAATAATAGAGGGCCAACCAAAAAATTTAAGTTTCTTTGAATTAACCAAAAGTATAAATTATCAGAGTTTGAATCATCAAGAGTCTACTGTACATGCGCATCCAGCGCTCTTCCAGTCAAAGTGACGCTGCCTGCTGCAACCAATGCGGACAGAACCGTAGTAGACGGGATCATAGATAGCAACGATGCTGTTTTGAAGACATGTGCACAGCCAATGCATGCAGGTTGAAAATGGAACTGCCATTTGTCGACTCATTGTGCTTGAAATCACGGCCCGATCATTGACAGTGGCTATGTGTCATGCAACGGTAGGTTAAAGAATTTTAAGATGCAATGAGGCATGGAGCATTTCAACATCTTTCGTTTATGACTATTGCTGAGTGAACTTCGGCACTTCGTTATTGGTTGGCCTTAAGCAGAGCTTTTAAGCACGCGTTTGCGACATCCAGCTGTGCCGGTCCTTATTGGTTCGTTTGCGTCTGTTAGGAAGACAGGTGAAAGTTCTTTCGATGGCAATAAGTATTTTGATGTGTATGTCTCAGTTCGAAAACAGCTTTTACTTGTTTTAGGCGATATCAACTTTTGAGTTACCCTAATATTTTCGCTGCCCCATGAGGTTCATATCAGTAAGATTCTACTGTGAAGTAATTGGAGATGTGCTTTCTTTGTGAATCAGCAGAATGTGTTATGACAGCTGTTGTTTACTTCTGTAACCTTTCTTCACAGGACGGCAAGCCTGAGCCAGAGCTGAGTGATCAGGAGCGCAAAAAGCTGAGCATTCAGGAGACTCGTCGCAGCCTTCCTATCTTTCCTTTCCGGGAAGACCTCTTACAAGCCGTTGCTGATCACCAGGCAGGTCTCCTTGTTGGCTTTGTTTGTTGCCTTTTATATAATTGGTGATCGCAATTCACTGAGGATGACTCATGCAGTGAAACCTTAGTCACCCTTTCAGGGTGTGTCTTTCTTTTTTTGCAAGGCGGGTCCCAGAACTGTGCATTCTTTCATTGCAGAATTAAATTCTTCAGACTTCGCGTGAATACTTAATAAATAAATCTGTAAAACCTTTTGGGGGATCATAAAGTGACAAAAAAGGATCGGCACACTCGCCTGCTCGGCAAGGGGTGCCTGTCCAAAGCATCCAAAGTCTCTTCGTGCGGGCGCCATTGAGCTGGCTCGGAAGGATCGGGTAGCGCAAAACATACAAGTAAATATTTAGTTTTTTAATAAAGCTGACAATATATTAGGGATGTGCAAATTATGCAAAGGGGCCCCGCTGCAGTGGTCTAGTGGCTAAGGTACTCAGCTGCTGACCGGCAGGTCACGGGATCAAATCCCGGCTGCAGCGGCTGCATTTTCGATGGAAGCGGAAATGCTCTAGGCCTGTGTGCTCAGATTTGGGTGAACGTTAAAGAACCCCAGGTGGTCAAAATTTCCGGAGCCCTCCACTACTGCGTCTCTTATAATCATATAGTGGTTTCGGGACGTTAAACCCCACATACCAATCAATCAATCAAATTATGTGAAGGTGTGAATTATGCGAGTAAATATGTTATGAAGGTTTCTCGTTATGTACATGATGACTTGATTTTTTTTTTGTAGAGATGAGGACTTTGGAACCGTGGTACCCTCAGTGAGTAAAAATAGTCAAGAGTCCGACGGAATTCTGTCTGGTCGGGGACAAACATAGTGCAAAATAACAAAAATGCCGACCAAGGTGAAATACACAAAAGTTAAAAAGACATTTCGTCTCCCCACACGGGAGCCTTGTTCACAGTGACCGCAAATGGCGTAGTGCGCTCTTCTTATGCACGTTTCATCAGGTGTAGCAGACATCGCGCGTACACAGGGGGGAGTGTCCCAATATTTCTGTTCAATGTATGCGCAGTAGTTTTGGCTCCACACACGGGGAGCCGAAACGTCTTTTAAACTTTTGTGTATTTCACCTTGGTCGGCGTTTTTGTTATTTTGACTAAGTGAGTGAAAATGTTGAACTAAATGGAGGAAGGCTGAACTTCACTATAAAATGGCCTTCGAATAAGGGAATACAATTTCTAGACATTTCGTTAGCATTTTGAGAACAACCACGTATGCTGATAGTATTCTCTAAGGTCATCAAAACCACTGTTAAACTTCTTGTCGAAGCACTAGGAAGTTGTAAAAAATGATGTAGTCATGTCTTGCCTTAAGTCGGCCCTCACAAAGTTTTGTGAGCACACAATGAGCGATATCTTTAGCACTCAGGTTATGCGTCTTTTAGATGTAGGTTACTATTTAGCTGTTGCAGTAGCCGTTGTCGCTGGTAATGTGAAGAAGTGCATAATTTTAAGTCTGAGCATGGTTGCAGAAAGCGATAGGAGGACATGTGTCGTAGGTATACTGTACATTCATTACAAATTTCACAGGCAGAAGAAAGTAGTTAATAGATATGGCACTAATTTTGTTTTTATGGCTGCCCATTAGCTAGGTAAGTTCTGGGCCGCAGTGCACAGCGAGTAAAAGGCAAGTGGGCCGATATTTTTTTCATAAGATACCCCAACGAACTCACTGATTGCCATACAAGAGTGGTTTATAAAGTCCCTTTCAGCTGCGGCCGCAGCTATGTTGGACATACGGGACATTGCATTAACCAGAGATCACTAACCTGAGGCTTGCCTTCTGATCTTTCTTTATGTTGTTGACAATGTGTTACGTCTGTACAGCCGCTTGTGACTGTAGACGATTTATTAAAGGACAGGAAACGTGAACAAGTTCAAAAGCGTAGCCCAGGCGTTGGAGTCACTCCTGGCCAGCGTTCGACGCCAGGCTCGCGCTCGTGCCACAGCGCCAGTGCCCCGCGCGCACTTCGTTAATGTCGTCTTCTAAGGCGACATGTCACTCTTCCTCCCTTAGACGAAGTCTCCATAGCGGTCTGGAGGTCGCCTAACCTCTGGTGGTCGCAGTTGCCGAGTGGCCACTGCCTGTGACGTCGACGGTTGCGAGGGAGTGTGATCTTGCATCTCGGGCGATTCAGGCGGTTGAGCAGCTGAGCTCGATGGCGTCTCTTCTGGCGTTGCGTCCAAGAGATCGTCAGCTGCGCTCCAATCTGTCCGCGATTGGGTTGTTTGTCTGGTCTGACTCGTTTTCCTCATGTGATTGAGGTGACGCCGAACCTTTCCTTGGTCGCTTTTTACAAGCCAGGATCGTGGTCCGACGCGGCGCAGTATTTCGCCTTCAATCCAATCTGGCTTTTTCAAAAACTGCCGGATAAGCACTCTATCCCCTATAGCGAAGCGGCGTGATTTTTGCAATGCCTCCTGGCTCTCAGGACTTCGCTTATCCGTCTCCCGCTTAAGAAGATCGAGAGGGCAGAGCAATTCTCGTCCGAACATCGCTCTCGCCGGTGTCATACCTGTGGTAGTGTGTATTGTCGTGTGCTGCCGATACAGAAATCTTGCAAGTCGGCACTGTATGGACTTGTCTGCATCTTTCAACAGCGCTCTTTTCAGCTCCGCCACATAGCGTTCTGCCTGGCCGTTTGTTGCCGGATGATATGCTGGTGAGGTTGCAGCCTGTATGCCGTTCGACGCATAGAACTGCTTGATCTCGTTGGAGATGAATGCTTTTCCGTTGTCGGAGATGACCTTTCGGGGAATGCCGAACGTTGCAAAGAGGCTTCGGAGCACGTCGATTACAGCCGCGGATGTTGCTTGTGTCACGTGCCGGACTTCCACCCACTTTGTGTATGCGTCCACAACAACTAAGTAGGTGCGTCCGAGTAGTGGCCCCGCGAAGTCAACGTGCACCGTGTTCCATGCTGTCTGGGGACGGTCCCACGTAGGAATAGGAGCTTTGGGTGGGCTCTTTTTGCGTTGCTTGGCATTCACGGCACTGTCGCACCGTTTCCTCGATCACCTTGTCCATTCCGGGCCACCATACGTAGCTCCTTGCGCACTTCTTCATGGCTACCATGCCTCTGTGACCCGCATGCAGAAGTGCCAGAACACGGGATCGTGCTGAGCTCGGTATGATCACTCGGGATCCAAGTGTGATGCACTCGCGCTGTAGTGCTAGTGCGGTCGCTCGTCGTCGGTAAGGAGCAAACTCATCTCCAGTGAGTTTCTCCACTGTACCATCCTGCACTGCCTTGTACAACCTCTGCATGATGCTGTCTTGTTGTGTCAGGCGTGCTATCTCGGCAGCAGTCAACGGAGGTCTCGATAACGCTTCGAACAATAGTACGTCACCTGGAGGCCAGGGTTCATCGAGACGTTCTTGTAATGGCAACGGCTCAACGCATCCGCGTTTTGATGGTTCTTGCCACGCCTGTAGATTATGCTGTAGTCATACGCCGATAACTTGATGCACCATCTGGTCATCCGTGGAGAAAGGACTTGAGCCGTTGGCTTTTGTGGACCCAGTATGCCGAGCAGTGGTTGGTGGTCAGTGACGAAAGTCACCTTTCTTCCCGCAATATACTTGTGGAACTTGTGGGCTGCAAACACCACAGCAAGGCCTTCTCTGTCCAATTGAGCATATTTGCGTTCTGCCGGCCCTAGCGTCCGAGATGCAAAAGCGATTGGCGCCTCTCTATTCTGGTCATCACGTTGAGACAGAACAGCTCCTATGCCATATGGTGAAGCATCACAAGAGACAAGAAGCTCCTTCTGTTCGTCGTAGTGTGCCAGTACGGTCTGACTGAGCAGCAATGCCTTAAGCTTGTCAAAGGCTTCTTGATGCTTTGTCTCCCATCTCCACGTGGCGTCCTTCTGAAGAAGCTGGTATAGGCAGCTGGCAACTGTTGCCCTGTTCTTCAAGAATCTGTCGTAGAAAGCCAGCATTCCGAGAAATGATTGAAGCGCTTGTTTGCAGTTTGGTGCTGGAGCGTCCGTTATGGCTCGAACTTTCTCTTCGTTTGTGTGGACGCCTGTCTCGTCGATTCGGTGTCCCAGAAAGAAGACTTGTCGCACCGCAAAGCAGCACTTGTTTTTTCCGAGGCGCAGATTGTAGTTTCGTAGCCTCTTCAGCACTTCTTCCAGTCTCTCGGCGTGTTCCGTGGCGTCTTTCCCACTGATGATCACGTCATCTAGGTATGCGCACACGCCTGTGATGCCTGACAGCATTGTCTCCATAAAACGTTGAAAAATGGCTGGGGCTGCAGAAATTCCGAAAGGCAACCTCTTGACCCTGTATAGTCCCTTCAGCGTGTTCAGGGTCAATATCTCTGCTGTCTCTGGCGTCACGTGAAGTTGCTGGTACGCTTGTGCTAAATCCAGGGTGCTGAAGACCTTGCCTCCCCTCAAGTGGCTGAGCACTTCATCAGTTGAGGGAAGTGGGTAGTCTGCCTTCTTTGATACCTGGTTCACTGTGCAACGGTAGTCGCCGCATATTCGCAACGAGCCATTCTTCTTTCGAACCAGTACGAGAGGCGTTGCCCAATCCGAATGCTGTGCTGGCTCGATTATGCCTTGACTTTGCAGTCGATCCAATTCTGCTTCTACAGCTGACCGGAGCGCGAAAGGAACCGGCCGTGCTTTTAGGAACTTTGGTTTCGCTCCTTCCACGAGGTCTAGTTGTACCGCTGGACCGATGTGTCCTGATATGTCCTCGTCGAATACAGATTGGTACTTGTCGAGAAGCTTCGAAACAAGTTCATCGCCGGATACATCATTGATGCCCGTGATCTGTATACCCAGGTGAGGAAACCAGTTTCGTCCAAGGAGGTTACAACCTGCTCCCTTGATGACAACAAGTGGTAGTGTCATGGTTTTGTTTCCGTGCGTAACAATCACCGTTGCACATCCGAGAACTCGAAGAGACTGTCCTGACCATGTGCGTAGGAGCATGTTGTCGGTCTGAAGCCGTGGTCGATCATC